TTAAAAATAACAAGGAAACCTTCACCTTTACCTTTTTTTTATGTGTACATGGCCTCTATACCGTGTTTCCCTGAAAATAAGACTGGGTCTTTTTTTTTTTGGCCTCCAAAAGAGGCACCAGGTCTTATTTTCAGGGGATGTCTTTTATACTCACCTCTGGCACCAACAGCTCCGCCCAGCTGGTCTACTTCTGCGGCTGAAGGAGCAGCTTCATTCTGCAGCTACATTCTGGCCTGCATTTCACAGTCAGGCCTTTCTGGAAGGCCAATGCAGCTGAGTACTGAGCTATGGATTAGTATGCAGTGGCCTTCTGGAAAAGCCTGTGACTGAGAAATGCAGGCCTGGCTGCAAAAGACCCCACAGAAGAAGTGGGCCGGTGAGAGGCCTGGCTGCCAGGTAAGTGGGTGTGGGGCGTGTGGGGCAGCCCTAGCTTGATTTTTAGGTCTGTGCCTTACCCAAAAGTAAGGCTTATTTTTGGGGTAGGGCTTATATTAAGTCCACCCACCCCCAAAATCAAGCTATGTCTTATTTTGGGGGTAGGACTTACTTTCAGGGAAACACGGTATTGATTTGCAAGAAATATAGTACAAGTAATTCTCAATAATGGTAAGTGGGACCAATATTTCTACCACTAAGTAATATAGTTGTATTGCTGAAGTTCAAATTCCTTATGCCAAATTCCAAGATAAATTTACAAGTTCCATTGATTTTTAACAAAAAAATTCTAGATAAGAGCTTGTTAAAAACAACAAGGGAAACCTTTACCTTTTTTATGTGTACATGGCCTCTATATTGACTAGTAAGAAATGTCATGTAGTACAAGTAATTCTCAATAATGGTAAGTGGGACCAACATTTCCACCACTAAGCAATACAGATGTAAAGTTTGATGTCACCTAATGTAATTTTAGGATGAAGCCTAATCCCAACCCTTCTGGAATTCAAATCAATTTCTCTCATCTGTTTCCCTAAAGTGATACTTAGCAAATACGGCAACTTTACTTTTTATATTTGCTTAATTAAAATCAATTTAATTTATATTGGAAAAGATATATTTAAAATTCGGCAGAGCAGAGAAATAAAATGGATATGTGTCCAGTACTATCTAAAAAGTATGAGCTGAATGGGCATATTTTCTAAATTGTTTAGCTTAATCTATTGGATATAGCAGCCAAATTGCACCTTCCAAGTTCTGCAGGCTTTCCTCACTTGTGTCTTTCCGTGGAGACAACTTCAATAATCTGTTTATAGAATAATTAGACTGCTGAGAAGCTTTGTTAATATGAACACAGGACAAATAAAGAAGTGCATGAAGATGGCTCTTTGCCAAGCTTGAGCCATTACTGCTTTGCCAGTGCTTCTTCTGTTCTTTTGGCAGAGTGCTTGATTGAAATTACAGTTGTCTTACCCGCTGATTATCTTGGTAAAAGAAAAACAAATCTGTCTAGCCATATCTTGCCATCTTCCACAAAAGCTGGAAGATAACTGCTTTTGAGAATCATTGTTTTGAGCAGGAAATGTACTTGCTATGATGCACTAGGGTTTTAAGATGGAAGGAATAAATTGTTCAGCTTCTGAATCAGGATTTTTAAATGGCCTGCCTAGGTCTATATGGTAAATGGTAGAAAACAATGCTCAAAATTTCTCATCTGAAGTTGTAAAAAAGCAGTTGACAACTTCTGACACCAGTTCTACTGTTCGTCTTTCCTTGACTTAGACCGTCTAGGTCATGGGTGTCAAACTCACCGCATCACGTGATGTGTCGTGACGTATCGTGACCTCAGCATGATGCAACCGGCCTACGGGCTGGCAGTTTGACACCCCTGCTCTAGGTGCTTTAGTATAGCTGCAGTAACTGATGCCCAACATACTAAAAATGTTGTATTCCAAAATGTCTGGAGGACAACAAGTTAAAGAAAAGTGATACAAACAATTCTTGCATCAAGTATTTATTACTGAGATTGTATTTTACAAATTGTTTGCCTTTAAACTTCTTTCAGAATAAATAATACCAGAATTCAGAAGAAATGCAGAATCAGTGCAAGAACTGTCCATTGTTTTTATAGCTGCTCACTAAAGTAAATATGTGATAGATTGAGCTGTTGAGGTGACATTTGGCACCCTGAGTATCTTGATTTTTAGCAGCACTAAAATCTTGAGTAAACCCCTTATTATCCTCTCATAGGCTTTTATGTTCTAGATTAGAAGCAATACACACAACAGTCTTCCTTTCTCTGCACATACTTATCAAACTCTCACAGGTACACTTTGCCTGATTATTAGTTATTTTCAGTAGGACTACATAAATGAGTCATGCCTTAGTGTTTGAGGCAGGCAGTTTGCAAAAATAAATGGTAACTTGTTTCACTGTGACATCTGTTCCAAACACAAAGTTTATTAGGAAAGAATAGCCCTTAATGAGAATTCATTTAAAAGACATGCCAGGTATTTTTCAAGCAATCATTAATCTTGCTATCACACTTATTTGTGGTATGCTTGCCTTAGTACAGTGTTTCTCAACCTTGACAATTTTAAGGCATGTGGACTTCAACTCCCAGAATTCCACAGCCAGCATTGCTGGCTGTGGAAGTCTGGGAGTTGAAGTCCACATGCCTTAAAATTGTCAAGGCTGAGAAACACTGCCTTAGTAGTAAAATTTACTACTAGTAGTACTAGTACTGCTACTATGTTCCAATAATTTTAAGTTCATAAATACTTAATATTTAATATTGAAATACATATTTTCATATGAACAATATGAATTGGATTATTTTATATGAAGATTTGAATCATACACAGATTGGTGCAATTTAGCTTCAGAAAAAACTTCAGATGAATTTCTTAATGAGGATTTGCTATAGGACACACTCTATTAGTAAGTGTTTCAAGCTGATAACAAGCAAAGGAACTTTTCACAAAGCTAATTTTTACTTCTACATGTTATTCAGCAAGGCTTTTCAACCAGTGGTATGGGTACCACCTGTGGTACATTGGCACTTGGCAGGTGGTACGCGACCATCCTAGAAAAGTGGTAGCGGGGGAGGGGAATGAGCTGAACCGGTGGCAGCACCGCACAAGCCTGAGTGAGAGACGGCTGTAGCTGCAGGGCTGTCAGGGCTCAGTGGAAGCGCTAGGATCAGCACCAGGCTCCAGCTGGAGCTCGGCGCTGATCCTGGCGCTTCTGAGCCCAGAAGAAGCGCCGATCAGCTGGAATATTGCAGCATCTCCAGGGTCTTGTGATTTACATTCAGATGCTTGGCAACTGATTCATATTTATGACGGTCACAGTGTCCCAGGGTCATGTGAAGTGACCAAAACCTACTGCAACCACCCAGCAGACGGGGAATAAAACCAAACACCCCCCCACCCCACCCCCGCTGCCAATCCTCAACAGAAATGCTCACAACAATGAAAACCTCGGACAGGAGGAAGAGCGCTGCCGGGCAGGCAGGCAGGTGTCTTGCTCAGTTGTGGTTTGGGGGACACTTTTTTCAGTGCCATTGTAACTTCGAATAGTGACTAAGTGAACTGTTGTAAGTTGAGGACTACCTATACTTCATCACTTTTTTCCTTTTTTTTTTTTTTTTATCATCAAGTTTTTGACACCTTGCTAGGCGACTGGTGGTACTCGGGTGCTGCCATATCCTAAAGTAGTACAATGGTTGAAAAGGTTGAAAAGCCCTGTTATACAGCACTAGTGCGTTTTAGGATTTTTTTTTTAAAGTAGCTGTTCATGTTGGTCTTCCTCAGATATTAAAGTCTTCCAGATATATTTGCCTATGTGCTTCCCAAGCTTTTGTTTGCTTATTTGTTTGTTTAATTTTATTGGCTACCCAACTTCAGTGACTCTGAATGATGTTAAATTAATTCAACATACTATTGTTTTA